GGAGAGGAATTGGGGAAGAGGGGGAAGGTACAGGTGCTGGGACGGAAAGGAAAAGGAGAGGGGGGAGGATTGTGAGTTCTCTTTACAGTTAGCATAGGGGTCTTCGTCCTATGGCCTCTTTCTTTCCGTATCTTTCGATGCTCTCACAGCTTTGATGATGGTGCGCACAATGGCCGCATGTGTAGTTGATTAGTTCTGTGGATCGGCAACAGAGTTGGTCTCTCTAAATTGTTTGTTGACGACGACATGACAAGTTAGGGGTTTTGTGGCGTAATATGGATTTTGAAGAAGAGGTATCCATGTTCATCAACTACTCTAATCCCATCATTAAACTGGAGGAGGTAGCACGAAACTGCAACACAAATGGGGGCCAGTCAATGTTATTGGCGATGCTATAGAGGTAAGAGCTGGGAAAACTCCGCAGCTGTGAAAAGGCTGGTCGAGTTCCCTGTACAGTATATAAGCAGAGGTGCTATGTGTGTGTGCCGAGGGAGAGAAGGTAGACAAATGTGTCCGTATGAAAAGAGAGAGAGAGAGAGAGAGAGAGAGAGAGAGAGAGAGAGAGAGAGGTTTTGGCTATGATGTGTTGGCTGATGAACAGGACAGTGTTGTCTGCTTAACTAGCGTATGGATTGGGAAGGCTATACACCGGAGTGTTGGGAGGGGGGGGGGGGGGGGGGGGGGGAGAAGGGAGAGCTAGAGAGGATTTCTATGCCTGCTGCTGACATGGTGGAGACTTAGGGTTGTTGGATTGAGGAGGATGTGTGTGCGGACGGGAACCTCATTGGGGCAAGTGTGGAGATTGGTGCGTGGTGGGTTTTGGTGGTCACTGCCTCGCGGGGAAGGCAAGGATCCTGAGTGCAGTACGGGGGGTGGGGTATTATTAGGTTGAGAAATTGTTTGGTTCGGCCGTGATGTTTCGGGGGGACAGGGAGATCTGTTGATGCTACACATTTATTGTGAGATTTTCCCCTTGGTGAAGTTATCAGTCGTTCATCACTTTGTCCACGTCCATGTCCTTCTGCTTCTCTCTCCATAGCCTTCTCCCCTTTTTCACCCTCTCTTCTCCCTCCTCCCTCTCTCTCCTTCCATTCCTTTCAGCTTGGGCTTTGCCCGAGTTGGCTGCCTGTCCTGTTGTACATGGACGCGGAAAGAGACGTATGTCCACTTTGTGGCCACCGTTGCTTACATTTATGTGCCACCGTGCTCTGAGAGGGTTTTGGGATGGCGATAGTCTCACGGCACTGTTCGACATATATTGTTCTTCTGCGTATTATCTGCCTATGGTTTACCGGGCAGCTCTGTTTGACTATATATATTGTTCGTCTTAATAGGAACTCCACAGCTGCTGCGACATAGGTACCATAATGACCTTTGTTGGGTGCTATGAACTCCACAGCTGCTGCGACATAGGTACCATAATAACCTTTGTTGGGTGCTATGACCAGAACAAACATCTGCCTAACCTATCTGAGAACTATCGGCAGAGCGATGTAGATGGTGTGGTGTGATGACCAGAGTGATGTGGGTGCAGGTTTGCTACTTCTTCTTTTCCATTCTTTTGGCAGTGGATGGGGGACTGGATACGTGTTTCACTGCCTGCTGAAGGTAGGCCCTGTTTTGATGCATGTAACTGATATTATTGTGTTGGTTTTTTGTGATAAGGTTTCCCCTCGGCATCGGTGAGAACGCTGAGAACTCTCGGTGAAAAAAAAAGGGAAAAGGAAAAAAAGAAATTTGGTATCCCATTTATTATTACCACCTTGCACTCATTGGCGTCTTGTTGGTGTGCTTCTCCGCGTTTTGCTCCATTATTTTTTGTTATGTACTTTTTTTTTTCCGCAAAAACAAGGCTCTGTCTATTCTGGGGAGCAGCAGTCCGGTTCCTTTTCCACCGGCAAGCCAAACAGATACAAGTAATACTAAGTAATACTCGATGCACACTCCTCCCTCATCATGGCTGGGAAGTCCAAGTGGACGGCATTGATGACTTCCCTTGGGAAGGGTATCCCCCTCTCAACCCTGCCTAATTCAGACTCGTGTTTTGTAACTTATCGAAGTAATCCTTCTTGTCCCATGTGCCCCCCTGCTGGCAGGGCTTGTCCCAAACGGCTCTGTCTCCCTGGGCCCAAGTCCCACTTGTCTTATGTGCCCCTCTGTCTGCAGGGATGGTGCCAAACAGCTCTGGCTCCCTGGGGTCAAGTCCCACTTGTCCTATGTGCCCCTCTGTTGACAGGGATGGTGCCAAACCGCTCTGGCTCCCCGGGGCCAAGTCCCACTAGTGGAGGTTTTGTTCCTGCTGCCGCCGGTACTGTGTGACAGTGTGCCCTGGAGTGCGGCAGACGAGTGACAGTAGGAGACAGAAAAAAGAAAAACAAGAGAGAGAGAGAGAGAGAGAGAGAGAGAGAGAGAGAGAGAGAGAGAGAGAGAGAGAGAGAATCCGTAATGATGAGACAAATTGAAAACGGGCCAATGACAGTGATTGGGAACCTGTCGGCCTTTCGGAGTTTTGTCGCTACTGAAGGAATGCGCTTCAGAAACAAGAAAAACAAGAGAGAGAGAGAGAGAGAGAGAGAGAGATTTCAGAATCCGTAATGATGAGACAAACTGAAAACGGGCCAATGACAGTGACTGGGAACCTGTTGGCCTTTCGGACCTTTGTCGCTACTGAAGGAAATGCGCTTACCACAGTGTTAAGAGCAGCCATTCAAAATGGGACTGGTGTTCCTCCTCTGTAGCCCGATGTGTGTCGGGCTGCAGGTGAGGACCACTCGACACCTGTGAGCCAAAATGTGGTGAAATGTTTGGTCAATCGAAAACTGCTTTATGGGCAGCCTTACCTCGAATTCCTTTGCCAAATAACTTGCCCGCCTATGCATCCTACGCTCGCTCCACATCAGTGGCGAGAAAAGATGTCACACACAACGGAGCCCCCCCCTACCCCAGAACAGAACCTCCGCTAGTGAGAAAAGATGTCACACACAACGGAGCCCCCCCCTACCCGAGGGTCTGGGTCACTCGTAGGACCCAGCAGTCCACTTATCACACCTATGCAAAACCAGGTTCCTCCAACTTTTGGCATCGACCAGACCTATGCAAATTGGCACCAGACTTTTCGTATTTTCGCCAGGCCGCTACTTTTTGCCATTTTTTTTGTTCTGGGCGCCAGAAGGCCCAGAACAGAATTCTGTTCGTGGCGCCAGACCAGTTTTTCTTTCGAGCGGACAGTTTCCTTTCGACCTAGGACACTAGACCCAGCATGTATATGGATGGGTCGACCTCATTTCTAGGCAGGTAGTTCTTCAGGCAGTTCACTGAGGTAGAGTTAGGTGCTTCTCAGTGGTAGCTCCTAGGTGTAGCGTCAGTTGTCGACACGCTGGGCGCAGTGAGAGTAGTCTACAGCGCTGGGCGCGAGGTAGGAGTTGGAGCACTGCGCTGCACTGCAGCGAGAGAGGCCAGGAGGACTTTCATAGCTCCAGCTTCGTCTTCGGGATGTCCACACCTGCATCAAGGCGGCATTTTTCTGCAGGTTAGTACCTGGCTTACGTGCACAGACAGACAGACAGACACAGAGAGAGAGAGAGAGAGAGAGGATTCCTTTTTCTTCTGCTTTCTGCCGATCTCCATCGCCCCCTCCTCTTCCCCTCTGGGTTCTTCGTCGTCATCTTCATCTGCTGAGATACGAGAGAGACAGAGGCACAGAGAGAGAGACAGAGGCACAGAGAGAGAGAGAGAGAGAGAGAGAGAGAGAGAGAGAGAGAGTTTTGACCTTGAGACTTGGTGACATGTGGGCATTACATGTGGGCATTACCCAGTTTAGTGACATTACGACTTGACATGGTATAAGTAGCGACGTCGGGGATACGTTGGAGACTGTGTCGATCGGGCTATGGTCACTGATCCTCCCTCTCTCTCTCTTCCCCGTTCGTCTCCTCTCCCTTTTTCTCAGTGGTGATGATGTATGCTGCCAGGTCCTGTCATTGTCCATGCTGAGTCAGATCTTGGTATTACAGTCTTCGGCTGTGCTATGTTTGTATTGTCTCGGAGAGGTCAGTTCTTCATTCTGATCGATGCCGATTAGGCATGCGACAAGGTGACGGTGTTTCGTTGGACTTGCACTGACTCGTGAGGATCCTGAACTTTTGACAACCTGCAGAATCCCTGTTGATGCTTTGAGTCATATAACCTTTTAAGTTGCTGTAAGGGGACAAACAGCAGCACAAGGAGCGAGGCATGGGCAAGACAACAACGTATTCGGTGACAAGCAGAAGAAAGGCACACAGGCTGTGGACAGCATGGGGGCGGTCGATGGGAAGACAAACAGGAAAGCACAGCGAGTAGCGCACCAACACTTGATGAGGAGATTTTGAAAAACGCAAGGTGCAACAAGTAGCATGCCAAAAAGGGCGAGGCGTGGCAAGCAGCGTGTAAAAAAGGCCAAGTGCAGCAAGCGGTGTGCTAAGAAGGCTGGGAGTGGCAAGCAGCATGTTAAAACACGAGAGTACATCCGGGCTTGGAGGCGCTGCAATGCGTGCGAAGCTTTTCCAAGTCGCCAGCCAAGGCGTGATGGGCAGCATTTGAAAAATGGAAGCTGCAACAAGCAGCATGTCAAGAAGGGCAAGGTGCGGCAAGCAGCGTGTAAGACAGTTGAAGCGTGGAAAAACTGCAGCAGTCTGCAACGGGCAAGCGGAATGTTAAAACTCCAGTATATCCGGGCCTGGAGGCACGGCATGCCTTCGCCAAGCTTTTCGGACCCGCCAGCTGTGCACCTCTTTTAGTATTTGATCAGCGCGGCTGGCCATTGTGGTCCGGTAGGCGCGATGCGTGGAATTTGGGAGTATGAGAAGAACACATTTCTGAAAGGCTGCGGCCGTGCAATGGTGGCTTAAGAAGGCAGGGAGGGGCAAGCAGCATGTCAACGAGGGAAAATGTATTAAGCAGCTCGGCAAAAGGGCGAGGGGCGGCAAGCAGCATGTCGAAAAGGCAAGGTGCAGCAAGCAGCATGTCGAAAAGGAAGCAAATAAAACAACATGAACGATGAGGAAGTGGGTATGGAAGCAATGCATCGGAGGCAACATAGAGGAGGTGGTCCATGCAGCCGGCGGGAACAAAAACACCACATTACCTGCCCACACTATAAGGAGGATGCCACAGACTGTTGGTGCCTACCACGCCAGGAGCGAGGGAGCCACTTTGGCAAACATATGTCGAAACATACACCCTGAAAAGAACCTAATAATGTTGCAATGACTATGGGGCACATTGTTAGTGTGTGAGGGCAGGAAGTATTTGAAATGAAAAGTACAAAGGAAGATATACAGTGTTACCAGGCCGGATGTTCGGGGGGGTGATCGGACGCTCTCCCTGAATGTTTGGGGGTAAGGCAAGAATATCGGCCCCCGGTGGCCCCTTAGTTCGTGTGTGTGTGTGTGTGTGTGCGTGTGTGTGTGTGTGTGTGTGTGTGTGTGTGTGTGTGTGTGTGTTCCAGGGCCCGCCTGTTCCTGCACATTCCTGCCCGCTTCCATTTTTCCTACCTAAATTGCATTGCCCCCAACTTGGGGGTAACAATCACCAATGTCTCTTCCGACTGGCAATGGGCGGTGAGCGGCAGGTGCACTCTCCCTCCCCTCCTCTCTCTCTCTCTCTCTCTCTCTCTCTCTCTCTCTCTCTCTCTCTCTCTCTCTCTCTCTCTCTCTCTCTCTCTCTCCACCAAAGGCACGTGCTCGCCTATCGCCCCCCATTGACACCTGGAAGTGGGCGGGCACGAGCGGGAATAGTCGGGCGCCCTTTGCGCGTGAGAGGGGGAGAGGGAGAGAGGGAAATGGGGAGAGACAGAGGTGACCACCCAGCAGCGGGTGGTGAGGGGCAGGCACCCTCTCTCTCTCTCTCTTTCTCTCTCTCTCTCTCTCTCTCTCTCTCTCTCTCTCTCTCTCTCTCTCTCT